ACCCACAGTTTCCTGTTTTTAAATATATTAATTGATTCGCAAAGAGCATCTTTTGGAAAACAAGAACTCAGACAGACTGGCACAGGCTGGAGCTCCGCCAAGACTGCTCGGGAAGGTTGCCATGCTGGGAGCGAGCGAGCGAGAGAGAGAGCGAGCGAGAGAGCCGAGGAAAGAAAAAAAAAAAGGCAAGACTTGGCACGGCTCAGTCAAATCAGCTTCTTTTGTCTGCTTTCTCGGCTTGAGCTTCAGGAAAGAAAACCGTCCTGGGGTACAGAAAAACTCAGAACTTTTTGGTTTTCAAACTTAGATAGCTTTTTAAGTCTCTTGGGCTGTTTGAAAGTGGTGGTACATTAAATGACTTTCAGTTACCAGTGATAAGAGAAATAAAAGACTTCTTTAATGAAGCCTCCACAATGTCAGTTTATACATATGGGGAATACGATATTTGATTTTTTTTTTTTTTTTTTTTTGTGTGTCTGATTAAACTGTAAGGGAGCCGAGTAACTTGGAAGATTACAGAGGGAATACCTAAATAAAAGGGAGAATTTTCATTTTTTGCAACAAAAAAAGTTTTCATCGGCATGAATATGCTTTAAAACCAAATCTGACCTCCTTCGGAATATGTTCAGAATGGGAATTTCAGCGTTTCTCTCATATATGCTGCAGATACGAACTTTTAATGGAACCTCCTTAAAGATTTCATCTGACCCAGCAATGAAGTAAGAGTAGAGAGAAAGTTGTGACATCTTAATATAAAAAGTAAGTATGTTCTTAAAGCAACAATATTTATTTGTGCTGCTTCGTGCTGTCCTAGCTCCATCTCCCAGCTATTAGTGACAACACTGAAGACCAGCAGGGCAAGCCGAAGACACCCAGGCTACGCCTGAAGGGCAAAAAAAGAAATGAGAGCACGATTATTTTGCTACTGCTCGAAAACATTTCTTCCCGTGCATCTTACTAGAAAGCATACGAAATTGCTGAATTTTCTACTTTCAGAGGAAACAAGAGATGGAAAAATACTGACTTCTGCCAAGTGAGGAGTGTTTGAAGATGACAGAGCTGGATTTGAACTGATGACACTGGATATGGAAACTTCAATTTGTAGTTACAGGACCTGTTTGCTGTAAATTGTGAACAAAATCTGCTCTTTTCTCGTACATGGATTAAAAAAATCTGTGACGCCTGAAACGTGGATGTCTTACGATTTCAATAAAATTAAGGACCTAAAACCCCATTGTTTGTTTGCTCCAAGGGTGCCTGGATTTTCAGTGAGACAGGTACCTTATTTCTGATTTCCTAGGAACAAATACTAGCATACTGCCTCTGAGGCCTGGATGTGCTCGGATTATACTACTGCTGCTGTGGCAATCAGCATTATTATTTCAGAGAGTAACTGTAAAGCGTAGATTTTTATGGATCGTCTTCACTTCTAGTAAGTATTACACTACCCTTAAAGAATAGCTTGTTCAGCCTGTAAGATGTGTAATTTCTGGCATGCTGCAGAAGTACATTTCCCTAATTCTTCTTATATGCCGAAGGAAAGGAAGAAACATTAATGAGAAGCATTTTAACAGGAATGTGTTTGCATTTTAACTGCACGTCATGGCATTTTGTTTACCAGACTACTAGAAATAGCCAGCCTTTTTGATTGTCTAAAAGAACTTGGGTTACTTTATTATTACACTAAACTGGTTTCGTAGCAAGATGTGTCAGATTTTTACTACATCAGTGAACCTTTTGCAAGATACTGTAGTTAAATAGTGGCTGAGATGCTGTCGTGATTGCCAGTTGATGTCCTGAAACCTTTTAATATGGTTTGTTAGTGATTTTTGAAGAAAGTGTCTCCATCAGATGATATTAGTAAACCAGCAACCCTGGCTTTCGAAATCGCTAAAAGATATATTCAACAGCTCTGTGGTAAAATAGGTATCCCACAAGAGATTACACATCGATATTCGGTGGAAAGGGAACGTTTGAAGGAGTTCAGTTGTGCTTTCTGGGGGCTTAGCTCGTATGTTGTTCGTTCCTGCCCAGGCATTAACATGTGATGTGCTCGGGGAAGCAGAGAGATGTGATGGATGTAAGTTTGCAATCACAACGGGGTAGTAAGTTTGTCTGTCTGCGTGCATATTCTGAAATGAAGTGTGGGGTCTCAAGGCATAGGCTATTTTCTTTCCCCACGACATTTCAAAACAAATTTTTAATGGGTGTCCCTATTAAAAGTCGGAAAACAATAGAAAACATTTGTCGTGGTGCCTCTAAGTGAAAACAAGCTCTGAATATCACAATAACCATCTTTCTCTCCTGAGCACTTCTATAATTTTATAAATGATTTCTCAGGTTTTAAACATGATCAACATGTGGGTCTTGCAATGCATTTGCAAATAGGAATATTTGTACAAATATTTGAACACAGATTGACACTGAAGTTATTTTGAAAGCAGTTACTACAGTTTTGAAAAGACTATTTATCTTCGGAATTTCTACTCAGTACAGTTTGGTTTCCTAAATGAGATACACACCACTGCAGATTTCTTCTGGCCTACATAATAAAGAAAGTATTTTTTCTTTCTGCTAACCCCTTTGCTTTTAAAAGCTCATCTAAGTGCTTATTTTTGGAAAATACCCCAATTTGGCAAGTTAGAATAAAAATTTGAATTGCGTGGTTTAAGTGGTTGGTTCCAGAATGTTGATTGGATTGCGTGAAAATGTAATTTGTGAGTGTGATTTGACATGGTTTATCGTATTTATATATTTTATCTACAAACTGTAATAATTTGGAGTTTTCTGGATACTTTAATCAGATAATTCATTATCACCATTGATTTTTATGATCCTTCATTATTGGTTAAGTTTAATAACTTCATAAATGAACAATTTGTGTTTACTTCTTAATGAATCATTAATATGTATTTTGATTTGGACTATACAATTCCTTAAAGTGGCACATTTCAATGTAGAGTTGAGGATTAGGGTTTAGGGTTTAACTTGAGTTTTCTTAAATTACAGAGGCATAATAGTATTTCACGTAGGAGCATTGCATTTGATGCTGTAATGGGCCTATGTCTGATCTCACTTGTATGTATTAATAATATATAAACCAAGGTTTACTCTTCTGTTTTTACTAGTATCAAAGTAGGCTGAGATCCAAATGGGACTGTAATGGCTTAGTCTGTGCTTTTAGATTTATATGTGTAAACCATTTTTAACACAGATTTGTACCAAGGTTGAATGAGCGCTTACTATGAACCAGTATGTTTACTGGAGAAGGAAGAGATATGCAGTTCTCAGTGTGACTACGGATTTTTCCTAAATAGGGCTGTAGGATAATAATATAAATGTTAAAATAGAGCGGATGCAGATTTTGCATGCTATTTTTCATGCTGATGTCCATGGAAAATGCTGAAATGAGCTGGATGTTCTGCACATGGTAGAACTCTGTATTCTGCCATTGCTGAGGTAACCTCATCTTCTATAACCAGTATTTTTTTTTAAAGCTGCATACATTTTAGGGCTTTTTCCATTTACCATTTACCAGTACTCCAGAATAATTGAAAAGCTGCATACATTTTAGGGCGTTTTCCATTTACCATTTACCATTTACCAGTACTCCAGAATAATTGCTTATTTTGTAGCCTACTACATGGCAAGGTGTTTTCTCTCTGTAAATCAACTTTTCTGGCACTGGTGTCATTGTTTTCATTTTTCCATATAACTGTAGCATGTATTTCTTCAGATCTCGCTCCAGTACACAGCAAGGTACCTAAAACTGTAAGTGTGTTCCTAATATTTTTCTACATGTCCAGCCTTGACCAAGGTGGAATACTGTCTGAGAAACTGCAGGAAGAAGGCTGTAGTATTCCCCTCTTCCTTACCATCTATACCTTATCATAATTTAACATAAAATTCTTCTCCACTTGTTCATGAAAACAGACACAGACATCTTCATTTTAGTTAAAATCATTTGTCCAGTACTACGTGTGCAGGTGCTGCTTAGAGTTTCAACACTGCAAATTGGCATAGTGGGATTGACTTTGGTGGAATTCCACTCCTTTGCTCCAACTGGAGGTATAGGCCACAGTCTTTACCTGTGCAATAGAAATTTTGAGCAAAACCAATAGTATTTCATCCAGTGTAACTGTTAAAACAGCATATAAGTGAGCTAAGTAACTTTTATAATCATTGTGGAGGAATAAACACCTTTAGAAGTTGATTTAGATGGCTGTCACATCCGTCCTGTGAATCACTCTCATTATTGACCGTAACGGTAACCCAGGGCAGCTAGCTTAAACTAAGACACCTGACATTTAGTTGTCTAAATTTGGGGAAGATCAATCAAACTCCCAGTAAGACAATTAAAAAAAAAAGTTTTAAAATAAAAAATGGAAGTGATTACTTGTACAGGTTTGTGCACCACTACAATGCAGTCTTTGCTATATTCAATTTCAAGGTTAAGAAAATAGAAAAATAGGACAACAAATGATAAGGAGATGAAAATACTAATTTGTAATATTTTTAAGCTGTCTTAAGATAACCATATTGTCTGCTATAATCACATTTATTTTATAGATAAGGAATAACCCACGGTTGTTGAGGGCCTGACTGATTCTGATAATCTTGTGGAAATTATTGTAGAAATGATAGAAGCTTGTCCTCTTGATAATTATGGACATCGATATTTTTCCAGTTGTTTTCCTATAATTAAGTTATACCCAGTACACATCTGTTTCACTGAGTCACTATAGCAGTTTTTCCGCATTTGTCTGATGCTATGGAATTTTAAAATATTTGTGTCTTCCCTGAAGCAGACGGGGACCACCCACTTAATGTAGTCAAAAGCTCTAGTGGTCTTCACCTTGTCTTGGGTATTCTGTGTCCTCTTATATTCACAAAGATGACACTTATTATGACTAGAAAAATTAACAAAAATGAATTGGCCACTGTGCATTTTCTCATCTAAGTCATGGAGATGTTGGAATTGAAATGTAGACCTGATTGGAATGTTATTTTCATTACAAGGGGATGAATTATAGCTTTTGCAAGAAATTCCCATTATTGTCCCTTCTTTACATTTGTTAAATCACCTATTTTTCTGTAAGTTTGCCAAGATCAAGCAGAACAAGCCTATAATTTCCTTTAGCTATCTTTGTTCTGTTGTCGTAGTATAATGAAGGTCAACTTTTCTGGGTCTGCTGTGGTTTTAAACATTGTGAAGACAAAGACACTTGAATCTTGTCTAGTGGTTTGAACTGGAGAATGACTTCTGTAATTGCTACCTCCTAATAAAAATATAATTCCCTTCTCTTCTGTATTTTTTCAGTGAAGGTAGAAGATATCCTTGAAGAAGCTTGGTGACACTTCTTATGCTTTCCATATTCCTAAGTATCTTGGAGGGGATTAATTTGACTTTTTTCTCCATTTTTTTCATACACCATATAGTTTTCCCAAGTCTATATGAGAGGATACTCTATGCCCAATAGTAGTTCGAAGAGAGTCTATGAATTTCCTTTTCATGAACCACAAAGTAGCAGCTCACCAGAGGTTCAGGACAACCAGGTGATCAGGCCCAACCAGCATGGGTTTATGAAAGGCAGGTCCTGCCTGACCAACCTGATCACCTTCTATGACCAGGTGACCTGCCTGGTGGAAGAGGGAAAGGCTATGGATGTTCTCTACCTGGACTTCAGCAAGGCCTTGGACACTGTCCCCCAGAGCATTCTCCTGGAGAAGCTGACAGCTCATGGCTCAGACAGACATACTCTCCACTGGGTAAAAAACTGCCTGCATGGCCGAGCCCAGAGAGTTGCGGTCAACAGAGTTAAATCCAGCTGGCGGCTGGTCACAAGTGGTGTTCCCCAAGGTTCAGGTTTGGGCCCAGTTCCGTTTAATATCTTTATCAATGACCTGGATGAGGGGATCGAGTGTACCCTCATTAAGTTTGCAGATGACACCAATTTGGGTGGGAATGTTGATCTGCTGATGGGGAGGACAGCTCTGCAGAGGGACCTGGCCAGGCTGGATCCAGGAGCCCAGGGCAATGGGGTGAAGGTCAACAAGGCCAAGGGCTGGGTCCTGCCCTGGGGTCACAACAACCCCACACAACGCTACAGGTGTGGGGCAGAGGGGCTGGAAAGCTGCCTGGTGGAAAAGGCCCTGGGGGGGTTGGTCGAGAGGGGGCTGGATAGGAGCCAGCAGGGTGCCCAGGTGGCCAAGAGGGCCAGCGGCATCCTGGCTTGTCTCAGGAGTGGTGTGGCCAGCAGGAGCAGGGCAGGGACCATGCCCCTGTGCT